ATAAAGAAAATAACTTTGCACAGTCGGGTTGTTTTAGAAACGTGACGCTATAATCTATTCCACCCCCCTAGAATATGAACTGTCTTTCATTTCAAACTCGTAATGAAACTTTTATAAAATACTGGTACACTTCCTTCTGGGTTTGTATTGGTCTTTCTGATAACAATCTGAGCACAAACATTTAAATATCTGGGAAGTGTTTTAACAGAGGACGGCAAGTGCGACACTGAGATCTGAAGACATATTGGGATGGCCAAAAATGCATTACAGAAGCTAAGCAGGGTATTAAGAAACAGAAAAGTTCATTAGAACGGAACTGTTACGTTATATCTGTCCTCCTGTATGAGACTTGAAACAACAGAAATGTAGTTCTAAAGAAAGGGGCCGAGGACAACATGCGCCGAACATGTGAGCAGCGACGAGGTTTTGGAGAAAATGGAAACAAAAAGGAAATTTATACTTAACATCAACAAGAGGCAGTTGAAATTTCTGAAGCACGTAATGAGGAAGGAATGCTTGGAAAATCTGATACTCACAGGAAAGTTAGAGGGAAGGGGGGAATAAAAGAAAATAGCACGTAAGATAATTCATGGGCTTGAGTAAAGGGATGGTAGAACAGGATTTGGGAGAAATAAGAAAAAGAAAAAAAAACTTAAGGGCTATAAGAGGCAGACCGAGTTCGAATTTTCTATGCTGAACAAATGTAGTTACAGTTTTTGGGAGAAGGCGCACACCCTGGCGTGATCAGTAGCTTACAAAACGACAGTACGCTCGACCATCGGTTACTATGACTTGTGATTTCGTGCGAGTACAACCAGCAACGTTTTTCCAACAGTTTCCTCTACTCAATTTCCCCACAAGGCTTAGCCCGAGACGTCGTCTTGATTTTAATTACTCCCTGACTGTGCTAAATACTAGGATAGTCTCTCCAGGTCGATATATCATCTAGTCACCTCCCTGATATATCGATCAATTTGAGATTCGAACGCGGTTTTTATACTTCTAACCACTCGGCTATACCGATTGCTTTAATATATGGTGAATTACAGAGGAAGTTCTTATTTCTTTGCACAGTAAATACTACAGTCACAGAAAGTACAATGACACTGTTAGATAGAGTAAGTTTTCAGCAACAAATCTCTATTTTTCCATTTATTCAAAAACTGTTTGCAGGAAAATGTTATCTGCATCGTTCATCTTTAATCGTCTCGTCTTTCACAAGCATCGCTGTTGCCACTGCTGATGAACATCTCTCACTACCTAACTGCGTCCATATCCACTGTTTGGTCTCCGTAAGTCTTCAACATCTATATAAATAATCCACAGTGTACGTGTGTCCATATGCTCATCTGTTTTTTGATCTCGACGAACCTGAAGTAACACGCAATTAAAAATTAAATAACTCATTTAAAGTTAAATTTAAATATCGAACTGAGTGAAAAGTTTAAAAAAATAATGCTTTATTTAAGGTTTAACTTTAATTTCACTTTTCATCGCAATTACACATGAAATCATCCAATTAAACTGTAATTAAAACTAAAGCGGGCACGTTACACTGATCACATGTTGTTGTTTTTTAGTACGTGTACTGTGGCGTATTCGAAATATTACATAGTTCGGGTTCGCTAATGCCTTTACGAGTGACTTTATGTGAAGGGATCATAAAGAATTGTGATTTTAAAAGAAAATAATAATTGAGCGTAAAATAAATGTAAACAAACTACGGAGATCGGTTGCGTATACGAAGAAAGATTATGCCGAATTAAGGTGTAAAATAAAGATAAAGTAATTTTACTATTTCTAAATTCTTATAATTTTTTCGTACGTAGGATGCTGAAGATAAAAGGATGAAGTCCCAAAAGCTCTCTGCAGGAGTTAGCGTAAAGATGGTCCGAAGGTTGGCTTCTAGGATAGTGTATCAATAAATTTCATTGGTTGCAATCTTTCGACATGAAAGAGTACAATAAGTACGGTCTTGCATATCGGCGGATAGTGTAATAATGAATTATAACTCTTCAATTTGATTATACAAAATATATACTGAAAATATCTGGCTGGCTAGAGTAATGTCCCCTTAAGGAAAAATATACATGTTTTTATTTACTAAGCGTTGCCTAGTTTGAGCGTATGGCTACAATATGGTCTCATATTGAATAGAAAAATGAAAAGTGAGGAAAGTAAAATATCTTTTCTGGACAAGATTTCAGTCAAATAATATATAAAAGTCGAAAGTTATGTCTGAGTTTCAGAATTTGTATTTATAACGAAGCACAAATAAAAAAATGATTTTATGTCAAACGTTAAACTCAACCGAAATGAAAATACTGTTTTAATTAAATTTTCCCCACTTCCTTCGACACTCGTAATATTCTAAACATCCACCGGTTTCGTGAATAACATCTGGAATGACATCCTGCGTTGACCCGAACCACATCATGAAATCTTATTACTGTTGTGAACATATTTAGGGTCGCAGGCAAATCTTCAACGAAAGACAAACCTCAGATTATCGGTTTCCTTGTACCAAACAGGTTGCACCCCCCCAGCATTAAAATAACAACAAAAATATAGAATTAGAGATTTTTTTTTTATTTGTTACAAGCCATGGTGATTATTATTGTCGGTTAGATTTAGAAAGTCAACGCTATGTTTTTTTTTTTTTTTTTTTTTTGTTTTTTTTTTTTGTTTTTTTGTTCTTTTTTTTTTTTTGCTGAGTCAGAAGGGCAGGAAGGGAGGCCAATTGACTGTAATTTCGCCTACCAAAGAACCGTGATGTCATCGTTCTCAAAATACTGTCGAGTGTAACGACAAAGTTTCAAATAGTCGCTTCAACTGCGGATTAAAGATATTATTTGGAAATATGGGATGAATCGGAGAAAATTAAGATTAATGAAATAATTGGTCTTTTTTTTTTCTTTTTTTCCATTTTATTTTTCTTCATAATTTCCTTTTTAAACAAACTCGAAGATTGTGTCTTTCTTTTGAAAAAAGAGAATAATTATAAATGATTCAGAGAAGATAAAAAAAAAAAATTATTTAGTAAAACTGGCCGAGTTGTTTGGACTGATTAAATGGTACTAAATGAAATTCCTTTTTATTAATCTCTTTATTCGGTCAATAGAAAAGATTTTACAAGCCGATGTAAAATATTTGGCAAACAATAACAACAGCTGTAGAATATAATCATAAATATGACTTTAACGAACGATTGTGTTGATTTTTTTCAAACGTTATTCCCGGGAAAGAATTTTGAGTATATTGATTTACTTAATATGTTGGTAATCAATGGCTGCTCTGAAAATAATGCTTCCAATTTATTCCCACTGAAACTACATTAGATATAGCGGCCGCAATAACACCGTTGGAAAGCGCAAGCTTTCGGCTAATAAAAAAAAAAAGAACTAAAAAGAAAACATTATTTCCTACAAAGCAACCACCACTGGGCATGCATTTTCAAGATCTTCTTCATTTCCTGGGTAGACAACAGTGCAGTGATACCTAGACCGAGCCTTGTCACTCATATGGCTCTCGCTACTTTTGAAATACATCATCTCACCGTCTAACTGTATTTACATCACCTGTTTGGGCTCTGTAAATGTTCAGCAAATATCGATGGGCGCAATTTTTCTGTGTGATGAAATTCAATGACACAACTCTATTTCGTACCAACTTTCATGTCAGACGTTATTTTGTCATACCGCTATCTGAAACAAGGCAAAAATTATGAATTATTGGCGGGAAAGTTCAATTACTATGACATATCTGTTATATATCTTACCTATGAACACTATTAGATATGTCCAAACCGTCATAAACACGTTGGACACTATTGTTAGTGGGGGTACTATACTGTCTAAGTAGTCCACCACTAGCAGTGGTTTACCTACTTCACGCCCCTGGCGAGTATTGTATTTTGTTGATGTTATAAAGATTATCATTTCATTTCAAACTTCCGTTTTGGTTACACCTTATTCAGTAACCCTTTCAAAGTTACAACAATATCCTACCAAAAATAACAAAATAGGAGGCATTACTTTCGGGACGACCCTTCTATGTACGTATGTGTAAGGAGTCCGAAGATTGATTCAATGAGAGGATGTTTATTTCTGAAGACGTTACTGCGAGGCCAACAGGCAAGAACATTTAAACTGTCAATATTGCTTACCAACATGGAAATCTGACACTGAGTCTAAGTCAGTTTTTCTATTCGTAAAGAAAAAATAAATGATTTAATTTTTTTTATATTTTATTATTTTATCTCCTTTTTTTTGTTTTTACTAATCATTGATTGATTGATTTGATATTTTATGGTTTATCAACCCTTTGGCCTGTTATTCAAAAACAGAAAATATTTTTAGACTGTAAGGGTTTTTGCAGATAATACTGCTCTATTGATACAAGAACTAATATTCTACCAATAACTGGAGTGACAAGAGGTGGATTCATGCCTTTCCCCAACGGGCATTTTTGCGAAAGTGAATTTAACGAACCCGACTAGAATTGGAACACAGCTTTCCGATTAACAATTCTAGCTCATTATCCATTACACACCAGAAAGTGTTTATTCAAGAGCGGGTGCTTTTTATGATATTATATCCAATCTCAAGGTCTCAAGTAATGAAATATTAGCAAAACAGACAACACTTGCTTTTTTCATGAAATATGAAAAAACTTTAAGCATTTTTACAATGTGACTCAAGCTTTCTCCTTTAAAGTAATTGTCTAAAATTTATGATGTCCTGATTTGTTTTTTACAGGTTATCAACCCAATGCAGGTTATTTAAAGCCAGAAATATATTTAGATTGTAAGACGTTTTTTGAGATAATAATGATTTAGGGATACAAATACTACTAATTAACCCATAGCTGTGCGAGAAGAAGTGGGTTCATATCTTTCCCAAGGTTACATAAGGGAATATAACAAACCCAACTGGAATTTGAACTCAGCACTCTGATTAAAAATTCCGTGTCATTATATTTTACATACCCGCATACTGAAGCTTACAGCACCAGGTTTTCCCAAGTGGTCACTCATCTAAGTACTGACCAGACTCAACGTTGCTTAACTTCGGTAATCGTACGAGAAACGGTGTTTCAACGTGACATGGCCGTAAGCTTGCAAATTACACACTATATACTAGGTCAATGAGCCACTCAAGATAGAATATCACTGTTTGAGATGGTTTAACATAAGAAGGCGAAGATAAAAAGTGTCGTTTAAGTTGATATGTGGGAAATATAAAAGATAACTCTAGACTTAAGAAGTGTAGTTATTCGGGAAGCATTCTCTCGTATTTCTTGGAAAGAAGCTGTTCGAGTGGAACCTCTTCCTTACTAACGGAATAAGAAGGGAATCGTTTGAGCTGATTTTGATTGATATCACCCCCCCCCCAATCCGGAAACCAGGATTGGGTCAAAGGAGAGACAGGCTGCCATTCACGGGTCATGCAGATGTTTGCAGGAGCGCACAAACTCCGGTGTATCATCTGCACCGTAAATTTCGGCGTATATGTAGACATGTCGATGTCAGGATTTTTAGCTAAAAATTCTGAATTAGGCCGATACTTACCGTATAGGTCAACTCGCAAATATACGATAGGCTACAAGCAACACAAAAATGTGGTCCCAAAATATTTTGAGCCTTGAAAAATCGACCCCAAAAACTAATAAATGAATGAACATCGATCACCAGTAAAGCAAACAGGCGATCTCATTTTAAATAAGGAGATCACGTGATGGTAAAGGAAATGTATATATAGGAATTAATGTGGTGTCTAAGTGATCCGTATTTCTTCCGAATTTGCTGGTCAAACTCTCTGCCTCCCGGTAGAGAGGATCCCCAGACGAGACTATGTCGAAGGGCAGAGTCTCATCTCGGGAGACAGCTACCCGACCCCGTTTTTTAGGGGATCTACAGGGAATATTTGGCCGAGCCTACGGGCTCGGATACCCCACAATAAACTCGGCCTTGTGCGTGGGGCGGTTAGTGAATATCATCACTATACGAGTCGCTATTCGAATCACTATTCGGTGGTTACATTCCGAGTGAGTATTATAGAGCAAGTACTATTACTGCGAGTGATATTCGAAGGCGTCTGACACCAGTATTGTTCAACGGCGTTACTATAGTTGTATCAGCGATTACAAAGTCTCTACTACAACGAGCATGACGAAAATGACAACGAGTATTCGTTGACATTACAAAAGTGGCAACGAGTGTTCGATGACATCACAAAAAGAACTCAATTGGTACACCGCAATTTACAGTAGATATTTACTATAGAACTGAGTATATACTTAGGTAGATCGTTAATATTGAGGAGAAAGATAGGACTGATTAAGAAGCTCTAGGGATCGGTGCATTGATCACACGGGTTTCAAAAGAGTAAACATTTACAATGACATTTCTGAACTTACTTGTTGACAATTGAGAGCACACATCCAGAAATTCCATAGATGAGAAGATTCGTTAGCAACCCCCTTTGTTATAAATTATCAAATACCTTTTATATATCTAAGACAATCGTTCTAGTGATGAATTTATTGTCTAGTGAAGTAGTTACTAACCGAGGATTATATGGACCCTGGTTGTCCATGTAAAATTAGTGGATTTCACAGGGGTTCATTTTAAAATCATTTATTATCAGTTATTTTATTAGTGTACGTCAAATTTAGTATTTAGTTGTTAATTACAAATTTATTTTCCTTAAATTAGTTTTACTTCAAAATAAAGCATATACATTTACTATTTCGATAATACAACTCCTAAATTTATCTATTAATAAAAAATAAAATTACCTTTTTTCATAGAATGGTTATGGGGGTACACCAAAATAAAATTACGAGTGGTCCATGGGTAAAAAAAGGCTGGGAACTACTGATCGAGTGCCTCATTGATGCCGGAAATTACATTTAATTCTTTTCTCTGTTTCTTATTTCTCAGTTGCCCGCTTTCTATAACTGCCACAAATACACTGCTGTTCGATATAAGTGACTCACCTTATCCTTTGAATTTAGCTCAACTTTCGTTTCATCGGAGAAGAGAACATTCTTCCAGTCTTCTACGGTGAAGTTTGTGTAATAGTGAGCTCATTCAAGTCTCTTGGCTTTGTTGGCTTTGCTTATTAGCGGCTTAAACCTTCGTGTACATCATTTGTAGCCTTGTTCTAACAGCCACCGACGGACTGTTGAAGAGGCAAACTAACACCTTGCTCTTTGCTTAGACTGGCTGCAATTTCTTGACTAGTTATAGTCCTATTCTTCACAACTTCTCTCTTGATTACCCTGCCAGTTCTATCATCAATCTTTTTCTTTCATCCCCTTGTTTCCTTCCTTGGAGCAGGAGTGGCATCATTATGTGCCCTAAGCACTCGAGAGACAGTTGATTGCGAGGTTATAGCAATTTCTGCAATTTCTCTCGTAGACTTGCCTGCTTTTGAGAAGGCAATAATAGATGCCTTAAGTGGTTCTGATGCATGTTTGTACCCTTTCATCTGGTTAATGACTTGAGTGACTATTTCAAGCTGTTTTTATACTGTATGAGGCTTTCTGGAATATTCTGGAATACTCTAGATTTAATTTAAGCTGTTCTAGAATTCTCTAGAATATTGTTCTGAGTGTATAGTAAAATAGTTTTCAATATTTTGTCAAAAGCTCCTTAAATTTACCAGTTTAATCATTAGAATCTGAGTCACTTTTTTTGAACAGAGTTTTTTTTTTTTCCTGAATCTCATTTATATCCAAATTTATAATTATCAATAGAATACCTTAGGGTGAATAAACGTTTTTCCTAGGTGGTCGGGAAGGGGTCTTTATATTAGTAAGATTAAAAATTATTTTAACCCTAAAAACAATAGACAAAAAATATTTTTAGTAAAGAAAAATCAGGTGAGTCATTTTTATCGAACAGCGCTGTACCTCAGCCGGGATGACGTGCTCTGCAAAATAGTTACGAATTCTCTTTCTATCTGTGTTCCTCTTACAGAGAGAGAAAAAGTGAGAAAAATACAAGCATGCACAAAAGAATATACTGAAGCACATCTACACAGACATATGTACACACAAAAGAATCTACACAGTCGTGGGCGCACGTACGTTTAAATATTTTTAGCTAAATCAAGAAAATCTTCAAAATACTTGATATTAAATCATTTGGCCATATTTTTGGAAGCGGCTCTTACAAATATCAAAACGCGTGTGCATGTTTAGTTTTTCATTCAGTTTGGGAAGTGGGCATGAAAAGTTACTGGCATGTTTATTGGTTCAAGAGGCGTGACAGGATTTAGTGGGTGTTGATGACCAGCAGATAAAAATTTCATTTCACCAGATCGAAAACGGAAGAGTGGGTAACGAATGATAATATTTTTCTTTTAATTTCTCTTATTGCAGACGCTTTTCCTCAACCAAATGTTCCAAGAAATACGACTCTAAACCTTTCCAAAAGAGAAACCATGAACGGGAATTGAAATAACAGCAGTGATGGCATCTTCCCCTGAATTCATGAATATATGAAATTTTGACAAATTCTTCTGAATTAATGGCAACTTATTGGTAATGTGGAAAAACATGATAAAAATAGACAAACATTGTCGACTGAATTTAATATTACTTATATGACGTAATTATTTATACATGAATCAATGCAGAATTTTGTTTTTACAATAATGTTAACCCTGTACAAGACACAAGATCAAATCGAGCTAGATATCCAAGGAAACAATATATAAAACATTATTCCTGCTCAAAAGACTGGACAATAGGTAAACCTATCTACTCCTATTAACATAATCAGTTTATATATATATATATATATATATATATATATATATATATATATATATTGTTTGCGAAGATGTATTCTCGCCATTTAAATCATTAACCTCTATATTTGTTTTTTTGTATGAATGCTTCATGAATTTATAAATTATAATTGTACCTTTTAATTGAAATATATATATATATATATATATATATATATATATATATATATATATATATATATATATATTCACCCTGGAGAACACCTAGGCCAAACCGATCTAGAGGGTTACAGAGCAAAAGGCACCACCCTAAATAAAGTGATAATGCCAACAAGACGTAAAGGGCCATCAGGATTGAGAGAGAAGGAAAAGACTTTAGAAGGAAATCCGAAACAGGAAACAATATATAAACCTCTGTTCCTGTTCAGAAAAAACTGAGGAGGAGTGTGATCTGGGCGATAGGCAAACCTATCTACTATCGAAGGGATTTTTTTTCCTATTGTCATTTTATACCAATCTGTCTTGTCCACAGAATTGATCTCGGAATTTAACTATATTATCGACATGGAAAAAAAAAAATAAAAAATAATCTCTTACTAAAAAGATAATTTACATTAACCAGAAAAAAAGGCTTAGACACAAGCGTCTATCTTTTTAATTTTGAATTTTAATGTAACTGTAACAACAGAAACATTTCGATTTTATTTTTGCCTTGAAAATGTCTGAAGACGAAACGTGTCGGCAAAATCTAAGATTTTTTTTCCAATTGTCATTTTATACCATATATATATATATATATATATATATATATATATATATATAGAGAGAGAGAGAGAGAGAGAGAAAGAGAGAGAGTGGGGAGAAGGAGAGATTTCTTCATCCGTCAAATTTCAAAGTTTTCCCTGTACGCCTCCAGAGAATCCACACATAGATCCCTAAGTTTATCCCGCGGTAATTATATTATCATCATTAAAGTTCTAATTTTCCATCCTTGATGAAGTCATTTCTGCTTCTTTCTCTACGAGTCGTATCCCTACACAGCCATTGCGATCATGCCACTCTACATTTTTCCTTTTGTAGCTCTTAGTAAATTTTGCCTTTTCGATATCTCTCCTAATCCCTGGTCGGCCAACCATTTACACAAACACTTTAGGCAGGTTATGCGCTGTTTTCGTCTGTCCCTCTTTGCTTACAAGTCCTAAAATTTCCATAGTCTATTGCGCCTGCGTGTAGAAACATTCTTTATGAGCGTTATGCATACATTATAATTAAAATAGAACCTAGTATTTGTGTGCGTGTATGTGTGTGAGTGTTTATGTGTGTAAGCATGTTTATACATTTCTACAAATAATATT